CCTGCAGCGTCCATGGGGTTGTTGTGACCCCAGGGCAGGACCCGGCCCTTGGCCCTGGTGAACCTCACCCCATTGCCCTCAGCCATGGGTCCAGATGAACCCCCTGCCCACGCTGTGATCACCACCACCTTCCTGAGGAAATGAAAGGTTTCTCCCACTGCAGCGAGGCCGTGGGTCAGTGCTGTGGTGATCCCAGGCACCGAGGCAGCCCGCTCTGCTCCTTTCCACCCCGGACATCATCGTCATTGCGACGTACGAGCACCTAATTAATGCCTCCACTCACTGCCAACACCACATCCCATCGCCTGCTCGGCCCAGGCTCTGTTTGGGCTCCCCAATCTCAGGAGCTTTCATGGGTTTGATGGTGGGACAGCAGCAGCTCTATCACATGGGAGTCCATGTATTTGTTAAAGATTCTCTCTCTTTCTGATGTTTTAAAGATGAACTCTTCCCGTTTGTTTCCAGGTGACTCATCCCCACATCTGATCCTCCCTGCCTGGCTGCTGCTCTCGGACCAGGCTCACGTGGGACCGCAGGTACCAGCTGCTCCCGCACCAGCGCCAACGTGAGGGACGTGGGCACTGCAAGTCCCCGGCTCCGCACACCAAAAAGTACATTTGGACTACTCACGCTTGCATTTCTCAACCAGTTTTACATTCAGGCCGGGATTGTGCTGTAGCTCGGAGCAGAATTTACTTTCTATTCGCTTACTTTCTGTGTCAAATACACGATCTGCTTTGGCATCCCCATTGCTATCAAACGATGCCTTGGGGCACCCTGCCACACACCAAATGCTGCCCCCGTCCTCTACCCCCTTTCCTCCTGCCCCACAGCTTCTCCAGGGATATAGGAACGCACTCACCCCAGAAAGCCACAGGTTTTCACTTCCTCCCATCCCCTTGTGCAGAGAAAAGGGGGAAAAAGGTCCAGAAGAAACTGTAACCATGGGTGCGGAGGAAAGACTGAAGAACAAACATGAAAAACACCAACACATCAGCCCCAGCGCAAACCCGAACCACAGCCCTCAGCAGCTGCTCTGGGGACAGTAACTCTGTCCCAGTGAAACCAGTATAGTCGCAGTGCCAACCACTTGGGATGGGGTCTCAGCACCCCAATACGGCCAACAGAGGAGTGCCGGCGCAAGGCCCTGCCCTGGTTATCATTATAAAAACCTCATTTGTCACCCGCTCAGCCTGGCACAGCTCATAGTGGCATGCTCAACCCCTGTGCCCAGCACACCTGTACTCCCAGTACAGCCCAGTACGCCCAGTACAGCCCAGTCACTGGCAGGCAGCAAATCCCCGCCTCATTTGCCAGCACAGAGCAGGGGAGAAACCCCCAATTCCTGGCAGCCATAAAGAGACTGAGCACACATGGGATGTCTGGGGGTCTCTGGTGCAACCTCTGCATGGAGCAGGACCACGCCAGCGCTGGAGCAGGCGACCACCACAACACAAATCCCAGCAAACACCGGAGATCTCCAGTCACCAGGGCTGGGTCCTCACCACCGCTCCCCGCGGCCGAGCTCTCCTCGTAGGCAGGGATCTCCCCAGGTTTGCCTTACCTACGGATTTTGTCCGTGGGATTCCTTTGCGCAGTGAAACGTGGGGCTTCTCGGCTCCCGCAAGGACCCCCGTGTGTGCAGCCATTCCCTGGCGCTCAAAGAGTGACTGCAAGGGGAAAAAAGGGGAGAATTTCCATTCTGGACATCGGGAGACCGGGCTGGAAGGACACAACACCCCAGTGCACCTGAGCCCCCCAAATGGGGGGACATGGGGGCTTGACCCCCACCGGGCTGCACCCCAGACCATGGCCCTGCCACCGGGATGGCCCCAGCCCCACAGAGGGGACCCTGGGGACGAGGATTTTGTTCCCACCCTTGCCATAACCTGACCCTCGGCTGCCCTGGGATGCGTTAACCCTCCCTCGTCTCTGGCTGCTCCCAAAGCTGCCTCCTACCACCCAGCACTGTGCAGCCCCCCCCATGCTGAGCTGGCAGCCCCCCCCACCCGCTGCATTTGTGCTTCCCCTACAGGTGCCACTTCTCCCATTTTCTTTGGTTCCTCCCCAGTCCCAGCTCCACAGCCTGCAAATCCCAGCCAGGCCCAGCTTGGCTTTCCTCACGCCTTCAGGGCTGCAATCTGTCCTCCCCAGGGCAATCCCACACCGGTGAGCCTGTACTGGTGAACATGTACTGGTGAGCCCATACTGGTGAGCCTGTACTGGTGAGCCTGTACTGGTGAGCCTGTACCAAACAGCCCAGAGCACCTCCTGCCCAGACTCCTGCTCTGCACCTCCACACCCCCCGTCCCTCTGCTCCCACCCCTCAGAGGAAGCCCATTCCCCAGCACCAGTCCCGGGGCTGGCAGTTGGACCCATCTCAGTTCCGTGCCCATCCCTGTCCCACCACACACCCATTGCCATGCCCGTGCCCATGCCCGTCCCGCCGCGTGCCCTCCTCTCTCACACTGATCTCTGCGGGCGTGATGCGCCGGCTCGTTGGTCGCTGCTTCACAGTGGCTGCCCTGGAATCCGCTTCGACGATGTCTGCTCTCAGCGCGGGCTCAGCTGCGGCCAAGATCTCATCCAGTTTCTCTGAAAAGCCAAATGTAAAAGCAGACGGGTCAGCAAGGGCGGCCGTGCCAGGCAGCTCCCCCACGACAGGCCCATCCCTGCAGTGCGGCTGAGTGGGGACCCCACGTCCCTGTGACTGAGTACAGAGGTGAGGAAGGGGCTGCTCGTCTGCCTTCTCCAAAGCCAGTGGCTAAGGAAGGGTTTGGGGGTGTTTCTGAAACCCCTCACCCACCACCATGGGCAGCCAGGCACCGGCCCAGCCCGGCCCAGCTGGGGACCCGCAGCCCGGCACACAGCACCCATCCCAGCTGCGCATGGTGTCACTCATGCACCCTGCCCAGCTCTGAGCTGCACCACGCTTCGATGAAGTCTGCACCCTTACCCTAAAAGAGCAGACTTTTGCCCTCTGGGGCCATTTTTGATATTGAGGATGAGACCGAGCCCCCCTGACCGCTGCGGCGGGGAAGGGGAACCCAGCGCCACAGGAACCACGAGCAACGCAGAGATCCACAGGACTCCATGGGACACAACCAGCGTCAGTCCAGTGTCTGTCTGCGACAAACTGGGATGTTTCCTCCACGAGGGTGCCCCAATGGCCCTGACGGGAGTAACCAGACCCCCATGCACCCCCGTGTATGCCTGTACATATTTTGTACGCACACAGTTACCACACTGACCCTTCTTCATATGTTGGCTAGGAAAACACTTCAAATGGTTCAAATTCTAACTCCACTGAATTTGCCAGCACTCCTGTTAATTTTTTTTTAAAACTAAGCTGTAAATGGAACTTAACCCTTGATAAATCTGGGAATAATGAGAGTAACCCATGACAGAGCCTGCACAGCTGAGCACCATCGCTGAGGGGCAGGGCTAAGTGGGAGGGCTCTGGTTTGAGCCTTTACAGGTGTTCTGGGTTAAAATTAGGGAACCAGACTTAAAACTGAGCATAAAAGAACAACTGAGCTCTAGGTGGTGGTGTGGTGCAGCAGCAACCACAGAGCTGTCATGGTAGGGCCCTGGCCCTGGCCCTGGCCCTGGCCCT